CCTTTGTGTCTGTTGGATTCATTTCTTTTTAAGAAAATATTTATTTGGCTGTGTTCGGTCTTCATTGTGGCATGTGGGCTTAATTGCCCTGTGGCATGTGGAATCTTTTGTTCCTCAACCAGGGATTGAACCCTCATCCCTGCATTGCAAGGTGGATTCTTAACTACTGGACCACCAGGAAAGTCCCCTTAGTTTCTTATTTTGAGATACTGTGGAAAGTGAGTGTGGTTTTGTTATTTGGCATTTTAGATCTGCTGATTTGCAGATTTGATAATTTCTTGTTTTTAATATTTTTTGAAGCATATGTCAGGGTCATATCAATTATACTTTTATATGCACATGACATAATTTCTTTTTGTCCCCTTATAATGCTTTTTGTTTTGAATGCTTTGTAGACTGCTAGTATTGTATTTGGTTTCTGTTAATACTTGCTTGATAGAGTGGAGTAACACTGTCCAGGCGTTTGTTTTGCTTACCTGAATTCAGCTGTGTAAATGTGACAAAGCATGGCGCCAGTGACTCTGCAAGTGAGTTAAGGGATGGTAGACCACTGTTTGGAGGGGCACCCCTTATATTGTGAGCCCTTGATAAATGCAATGTTGGTCTTGAAACGTAACATTTGACTTTTACTGTATCATGTTTCCTAAATGTAAGTCAGTTGCTCTATCAGTTTCCAGTGAGGTGCTTAAGATTTTGGTTTACTCATTTTTGACTGAATGTCATTTTCATCTTAAAGCATCCAGCTCCTCCTTATGGGACTCCATTGTGAGTGTTTTACTGTTTATTTACCTTCAATCTATTTGTATTATCTTATTTTAGATGTCTCTTTTTATATAAGCATATAGTTGAATTATTTGTTTTTGAACTGATTTTTTTCTCCCTAGTTGTTTGAAGGTCATATGTTCATTTTCTCTTCTGAAGTTGCCTGTAAATTTTTGACACATTTAAACCATCACTTCTTTATTCTTGTTTAGAAATAATCAGAATCTATATCTTCTGTTCCTCCACAAGATAGCTGCTGCTTGCTTTGACTTCCCTCTCCTTTCTCTTCCCTCTTCGACTTCCTATGTTGAAATCATGCAAGTGTTTTAGTTCCATATTGCTTGTTTTCCTCAAAGTCAGCATGTATTGCTTCCTGTACTTATCATTGTTCCTTATAACTCATATCATCTTGGGTGATTTAAAACATTATATTGGAGTGTATCTACTAACTGTTTCAGAGAAGGTCTTTGAGCAGTAAATGTTGAGCTCTTCGATGCATGGAGTTGTCTTTCTCTTGCACTCCCATTTGAAAGCTGATTTGATTGAATGAGTTTCAGATTATTTTCCTTATAACTTTGCCAGTGCTCTGTTTTCATCTAGTGTCTGTGTTACTGATGTGAAGTCTAATTTTACCTTTATGTGATCTATGTGTCTTTGTAGGAATTCACTTTTTTCCTTTGGGAGTTTTTAGGATTTCCTGAAATTTCAATAAGATGTCACTGTAAATCTTCTCTTACTCCCCCCAGAAAATTTCTAGAACTCCTAAAACATAGATGTTGGACTTTCTGGTTCTGTGTTTTATATATTTACCTTTCTTTCACACTCGAGGCATTTTGGGAGAATTTTCTTAGTTTTGTTTCCCATTTGTTTTTTTCCTGCATCTTTTTTGTTATTAAATGTATCTGTTGAACTTTATTTTGAAAATAGTTTCATTTTTCTGTTATTAAAGTGTCTTTATTGAATATAATTAACATATAATAAACTATATTCACTCTAAGTGTACAGTTCCATGCATTTTGATAGATACATACATCCATGAATCTCCCCTCTTGCCCCCAACAATTAAGTTTTGGGTTATCACAGAGCGTTTTCTCTTACTCCTGTACAGTCCTTCCCTCTCTCCCTCCCTAAGCCAGTGATTGGCTTTCTGTCAGATGCAGAAATGGTTAGTTTGCATTTTCTAGAGTTTCATATAAATGGACTCATACATTTGTGGAGAGTTTCTTTCACTCAGGCTTTAAAAAAAAAAAAAAATAAGTATTTATTTATTTGGCTCTGTTGGGTCGTATTTGTGGCATGCCGGGATACTAGTTGCCACTTGCAAACTCTTAGTTGTGGCATATGGGATCTAGTTCCCACACAGGACCAGGGATCAAACCCGGGGCCCCTGCATTGGGAGCCTGGAGTCTTAGCCACTGGACCACCAGGGATATCCCCACTTACCCTGTTTTTGAGAGTTACTTGTAACTCAGTTGGTAAAGAATCTGCCTGCAATGTGGGGGACCTGGGTTTGATCCTTGGGTTGGGAAGACCCTCTGGAGGAGAGAAAGGCTACCCACTCCAATATTCTGGCCTGGAGAATTCTATGGACTATACAAGTCCACAGAGTCGCAAAAAGTTGGACACGACTGAGCGACTTTCTTATCTATCATTATTATTACCTTAAGTGTATTGTTACCACCCCCCAGAATCCTTTTTTGTTTTTGAAAGCTTCGTATATCATGCGAAATGCTGGGTTGGATGAAGCATAAACGGGAATCAACATTGCTGGGAGAAATATCAGTAACCTCAGATATGCAGATGACACCACCCTTACAGCAAAAAGCAGAGAGGAACTAAAGAGCTTCTTGATGAAAGTGAAAGAGAAGAGTGAAAAACTTGGCTCAAAACTCACATTCAGAAAACTAAGTTCATGGCGTCTGGTTCCTTCATTTCATGGCAGATAGATGGGGAAACAAGGGAAATAATGACAGACTTTATTTTCTTGGGTTCCAAAGTCACTGCAGGTGGTGACTGCAACCATGAAATTAAAAGATGTTTGCTCCTTGGAAGAAAAGCTACGACAAAGTTAGAAAGCATATTAAAAAGCAGAGACATTGCTGACAAAGGTACGTCTAGTTAAAGCTATGGTTTTTCCAGTGGTCATGTATGGATGTGAGAGTTGGACCATAATGAAGTCTGAGCACCAAAGAATTGATGCTTTTGAACTGTGCTGTTGGAGAAGACTCTTGAGAGTCCCTTGGACTGCATGAAGGTCAAACCAGTAAATCCTAAAAGAAATCAAACCTTGACTACTCAGTGGAAGGACTGATGCCAAATCTCTGTACTTTGGCCACCTGATGGGAAGAGTTGATTTCATTAGAAAAGACCCTGATGCTGGAAAAGATTGAAGGCAGGAGGAGAAAGGGACAACAGAGGATGAGATGATTGGATGGCATCACAGACTCAATGTTCATGTGTTTGAGCAAGCCCTGGGAGATGGTGAAGGACAGGAAAGCCTGGCATGCTGCAGTCCACGTGGTCTCGAGGAGTTGGATGTGACTGAACGACAAAACAACCCCCCACCCCCAACTGGGAAATTAAAATTGATACCACAGACCTTATTTAGATTGAACCAATTTTACCTTAGCTCTTTGGTGAATGTATATTTAGTTCTGTATACTTTTATCACATGTGTAGATTCTTGCAGCCAAAACCATACTTGGCAATCATATCTTAATTTCTAATTTTTCTTTATGGCAGCTTATTCATTTTTAAAATTAATTTGTTATTTTTTATTAAAGTATAATTGATTTATAATAGCTTATTTTTCATGGATGAAATCTCCTTTTACCTTGGCCGATATTTATGATTCTTTTAAAGCCTCCTCTTTGTTCCTTCAGCTGTTTCTTAAGATGTTAGCATCTTGTTTTTGTGGTGTTGATTTCCCTTTTGGTAATTCTGGTTTGTAAAGTGATAGTTTCTGGTTTAAGGAATGCTATTCTCCTGTCCGTGGGTGCACTGTCCGTTTACTCGTCTGTCAGGATGGATTGTAGGGAGAGATGGGAAATATGGCCAGATGTAGGGGCTTCCCACTTCTGGGTACTAGTAGCTGCGTGGATGCCATACTGATTGTTGAGCTCAAGTGCCTGTGCTCAGTGAAGAATTTGCCTCCTTGGAGGCCGAGGAGGGGAGTGACTGGCCTGTCCAGTTGTGCCAAATGCATTTTCCCACCATATGACTTAAATAACTGCACCGGAGCCTGCTTCTCTTTCCCCATGGCAGCGACCTTATTGACACCTTGAATGGAGCACCTCTCTGCTTCCCCCACCTTCATAGCTGCTCCCCATTCTAACAGCATTTTTCTCTTGAGAGTTATGGACAGTTACTGCCTCTATCAGCTTAGTTCTGGTGATAGTGTCACTTCTTGTTTCTCAGAATTATTTTAGAAAATCAATACATCTGTCTTTAGTCATTTCTAGGATTTAAGATGGGAGGAGAAGACATGTATAGCTAATGCAGTTTTATCTTGATCCAGTCTCCTTAAGCCATTTTTTGGGGGATGGATTTTTTGGGGGAAGCTGTGCCGCATGGCATGTGGGATCCTAGTTCCCTGATCGGGGCTTGAGCTCGCACCCCCTGCATTGGAATCACGGGAGTCTTAACCACTGAACCTTCAGGGGAGTCTTGGAGTAGATTTTTGGAGATGGATATTTGAGTCACTGGTAGAGAATCCACCTTACCAACGTAGGAGATGCGGGACTGATTCCTAGATCAGGAAGATCCCCTGGAGAAGGAAACAGCAACCCTCTCCAGTATTCTTGCCTGGGAAATCCCATAGATAGAAGTCTGGCACAGGCTGCAGTCCATGGGCTCGCAAAAGAGTTGGACACAACTTAGCAACTAAACAACAAATTTGGTATTAACTTTGAAATGCCTCTTCTACTGATGGCCATTTAACCCTGATTGATTGACACTGACCGCTGGAGCTTATATGTTACACAGGGCTCGGAATTTCTTCTGCCCCTAAGTTGGGTTGGCTATCACTGTGATACTTTTCTTTTTGATCTTGGTAGTTTTTTAAAATAGATTTGCTTCCAGATCAGACAGTCATATTTCTTCTCCCCCAGATCTTTTTGTTTATATTTTGTATGGTTCTTGGGAACCTCAGGGTATGAAATGGTTAATCTAATAAGTGTGAATTTAGTTTTCAGGTTGAAAAAAGCTGTTTTGACTTTTTTTTTCCTTTCCCCATTTAGTTTTCCCTTGGTTTGGCTTGGATATTGGTGGAACCCTGGTCAAGCTGGTTTATTTTGAACCCAAAGACATCACTGCTGAAGAAGAAGAGGAAGAAGTGGAAAGTCTTAAAAGCATTCGGAAGTACCTGACCTCCAATGTGGCTTATGGGTCCACGGGTATTCGGGACGTGCACCTGGAGCTGAAGGACCTGACTCTGTGTGGACGCAAAGGCAATCTGCACTTTATACGCTTTCCCACTCATGACATGCCTGCTTTTATTCAAATGGGCAGAGATAAAAACTTCTCGAGTCTCCACACTGTCTTTTGTGCCACCGGAGGTGGAGCATACAAATTTGAGCAGGATTTTCTCACAGTATGCATTTTTTAGCTTATATACAATTTATGGTAATTTGATTGTTAAAAATAATACCAATAGCAAGTGATGGAATTGTTTCCATCTCTAATGGAATTTGAATTTTCTTGAGTCAAATTAAGATTAAATAGTGATAGGAGTTGCCATTTAGAGATTGTTGTATAGTTTATTTTTTGCCCAAATCAGATGAGTTGAGAATCAGAACCACTGAAAGCGTAGCATTTTGTTGTTATTTTAGTATGAAGAAACAATAAAATTGTAATAAGCAGAGTAAGGAACTACCAGTGAGGAGCTAATATCACTGTTTTGAACAACTAAATTGAAAAATAATTTTTAAAAATTAATGTCATTTCATGTTATAAAGTTGTTTCCAGTCTTATCTACCACATAAGTTTTCTTAACCTCCTTAATTGTTTCTTGGCAGTTTTACTATTTAGAAATATGAGGAACTCAGGTCCAAAGCAGTGTTTTTTTCAGGCCTCCGGGCTAGTCAGAGATGGTTGACGGTGCTGTATGTGCTTAGTCGCTCAGTTGTGTCTGACTCTTTACAACCCCATGGACTGCAGCCTGCCAGGCTCCTCTGTCCTTTCGGTTTCTCCTGGCAAGGATATTGGAGTGGATTGCCATGCCCTCCTTCAGGGGATCTTCGCAACCCAGGGATCGAACCCAGATCTTCTGAATTTCAGGCGAATTCTTTACCGACTGAGCCGCTGGGGAAGCACCATTCTGTATTCCCCAAATGCCCTTTGATGTATCCTGAGCTGCATGCTTGTTACCAGGAGTGTGGACACTAGGGGGAGTGCCAGCGGGCACTTGATTTTGTTTTCATTCAGTAAACGTGTGTAAGGCCTTGAGGCTAGGTCTTTTGAGGGTGGATGTGGGAATAGATGGGAGAATTGATAAATGAATTTGCCAGGACTCTGATCTTCAGGGTGCAGTGTAGATTTAAAATATCTTCAGTGACCATGGTTTTTATGCCACCGATGAAAATGTTATTGCAGAGATTCTGTCTTTGCTTATGTTATTTTTCATCTATCTCCCCACTTGAGTGTCATTGTGTGTTTGTGACTTTGTCTTCCTTCTTTGTCCTCAATCTTCTTTCTCCCATAACTGAGTATAACCATAATACAGGATTGACATGAATTTTAAAATGAGGTTTTGCTTGAATTTTTCGTGGTTTCTTTTCTACCTGTGAGTTAATGGGGAGATAGCAGGAGGAGAGGAGGTCCTCTCCCTTTGAGGTCGTCGTAGTGGACTCTGGATTGTAACTGATAGGTAAGGGTGAAACTGATAGGCATCACCACCTCGATGGACATGACTTTGAGCACGCTCCAGGAGTTGATGGCCAGGGAAACCTGTCGTGCTGCAGTCCATGGGGTTGCAAAGAGTCAGACACGACTGAGCGACTGAACTGACTGAAAGGAGAAAACCTACATATTTCTCTAACCTGTAAAGGTGCCTTTGGAACATATTCAAAAACCATTCAGACTGTTAGCAGAGAATAAGGGCTTCCCTCATAGCTCAGTTGGTGAAGAATCTGGCTACAGTGCAGGAGACCCAGGTTCAATCCCTGGGTCGGGAAGATCCCCTGGGGAAGGAAATGGTAACCCACTCCAGTATTCTTGCCTGGAGAATCTCATGGACAGAGGAGCCTAGCAGGCTACAGTCCATGGAGTCACTAGAGTCGGATGCAACTTAGCAACTAAACCACCACCAGAGGTTGTGTGGTAATCCAAGGAGAGAGGCAGGGTAGATTTTAGACCTTAGGAGTTGCCTCCTAGGCTATTGGGGTTTCTAATCTGTATGCATCAGTGCTATTCTTGAAAACTGTATGAAAATGAAATGCCTTACCAGTCCTGCTTGTGCATTGGGAATGATGATTATTTAATAAACCACAGTGAAATATTTCTAATAATATGGAGTTTATCCTGTCTCTTTTTAAATATGAATCAGATTTCCTTGTATTGAGTTTTCTTGTTGGTACATCACCTGCATTATGAGTAATGTGATGAAATAACCTATGTATTAGACATAACTATGTCAGTTAGGCTGAGATTCTTTAGGAATAATGGCACAGCAGGACAGGAAAGATAAAAGGAGGTCTTGGTGGGCATGCAGTGACAGAAAACTACTTAGATTTCAGTTAGGCCACTAGGGTAAAACAATTTAGCTTTGAAATGAAAATGCTGACACTTGAGATTCAAGTGTCAGGAAGTCAGAATTGAATTCATTGTGACAGGGAGGGCATGAGCAGGTGAAATAAGGGTGGCAGTGAACATTTTCAAGGGTTTGGGTTTTATCAGAGGAGTAACCTAATATTCTTAATTAGGGATTAATTAAGGATTAAGATGAAGTTATCTGTTAACTTCCATCTCCTCTGGATCAGAATAAATTGAATATAAATGTAATCAAACAAGAGTTGAATTAAAGGGGGAGGACTTACGGGGCTAAACTTGGTTGTAAACAGAAATAGTCATTTTATGGAGTTGAGGCATCTTTGTTGCATATATTGAATAGATATGCTGGTAGCATTCGTTTGAAGGTTGGGGTAGAAGTTCATAGGTAAAAAGTGAAAGTTTATATCACCTCTCCAAAGTTACCACTGTTAAAGGTTTGTGTATCTTTTGTTTTTCTGTGTATGACTGTGTATGACATATACATGGGCATCTAAACATGGTTTTAAAGATAGGCAGATTGAATCATATTTTATAAAATATTTCTCAGCTTATTTTTTTTGACTTGCTTGGAGTTCTTCCCACTTCATCGTAATTGAGTAAAGATCCTCTTCATTCTTGGGATTTCCCTGGTGGTGTCCAGTGGTTAAGACTCTGCATTTCGACTGCGCGAAGCATGAGTTCTGTCCCTGGTTGGGGGGCTGAGATCCCACATACTGCATAGCATGCCCAAGGGAAAAATAAACACGTGTGTAAGGATCCTCTTCATTCTTTTACTATGCAGTGTTCCATAACATGGATAATAATTGAATCATTCTTTCTGAATTATTTAAATGAAATTAAATTGATAACACTTATTTATTTATGGCCCAAGAAAGACTTATTTTATTTATACACCCACAATACAAATAACATTGTTCCTAACTTTATAGTGGTTGTTTCATTGCTTCTTTTGTCCTTTTTGTGGACAACATCCAGTAATTATTTATATATAGTCACTTAGATCATAAAGCAGACAACATTAATGTTATTTGCCTCTTTCACAGGGACTCCAGTATCTGGAAGTTTTATTAAGAAGGCTTAATTTGAGTGGTGAATTCTCAACTGTGTGATCTTATAACTAGAAAATGACCCTTTTAACTTTTAAATTTTGATTGTGCTAAACTCCCTCTACCCCCCACAGGCTATCACCTGTTTAAATAGTGAAATATTTTCTTTCTTATTGGACACTTTCAGACCTTTGTTTTTTGGCCACACTGTGTGGCTTGTGAGATCTTAATGCCATGACCAGGGATTGGACCTGGGCCCCCTGCATTGGAAGGTGGAATCTTAACTACTGGATACCAGGGAAGTCCCCTGGCCACTTTCAGTTCTTTAGCTGGTTGTTAATATAAATTGTGGCCTACTTTAATACTGCTCTGTAGCCTTGAAGGTAGTCTGTGGAAGGTAGATGGTAGAGTCCTTGTTTCTGGCACCATATGTTTCTAGGTCCTTGCATCTTAGGTTTCTTAGAATCTGCTTTATGAGGCGGTTGTGCCCTCAGCTGTGCTCCTGCCCTGTGGTCCCCATAGCAGGTATCTTGTTTTCTGCTTGGGTTTTTGGCACATTTCTTCAGCTCCTGCGGTGGTTTATAGGTAGAGTGTATTGGATCTGTGGGAGCAGGAATCATGTCTTGTCAGTCCTTCCCTATATTTGTTGTCTCCAGACAACAAAAGCAGATCTTTTCTGTAGTTCAGTTCAGTTCAGTTGCTCACTCCTGTCTGACTCTTTGCAACTCTATGGACTGTAGCATGCCAGGCCTCCCTGTCTATCACCAACTCCTGGAGTTTACTCAAACTCATGTCCATTGAGTCAGTGATACCATCCAGCCATCCCATCCTCTGTCGTCCCCTTTTCCTCCTGCCTTCAGTCTTTCCCAGCGTCTGGGTTTTTTCAAATGAGTCCGTTCTTTGCATCAGGTGGCCGAAGTATTGGAGTTTCAGCTTCAGCATCAGTCCTTCCAATGAATATTCAGGACTGATTTCCTCTAGGATGGACTGGTTGGGTCTCCTTGCAGTCCAGGGGACTCTCAATAGTCTTTTCCAACACCACAGTTCAAAAGCATCAATTCTTTGGCGCTCAGCTTTCTTTATATAGCCCAACTCTCACATCCATACATGACTACTGGAAAAACCATAGCCTTGACTAGATGGACCTTTGTTGACAAAGTAATGTCTCTGCTTTTTAATAAGCTGTCTAGGTTGGTCATGACTTTTCTTCCAAGGAGCAAGTATCTTTTAATTCCATGGCTGCAGTCACCATCTGCAGTGATTTTGGAGCCCCTCAAAATAAAGTCTGTCACTGTTTTCATTGTGTCCCTATCTATTTGTCATGAAGTGATGGGACCGGATGCCATGATCTTAAGTTTTCTGAATGTTGAGCTTTAAGGCAACTTTTTCACTCTTCTCTTTCACTTTCATCAAGAGGCTCTTTACTTCTTCGCTTTCTGCCATAAGGGTGGTGTCATCTGCATAACTGAGGTTATTGATATTTCTCCCAGCAATCTTGATTCCATTTTGTGCCTCATCCGGCTCAGCGTTTCTCATGATATACTCTGCATATAAGTTAAATAAGTAGGGTGACAATATATAGCCTTGACATACTCCTTTCCGATTTGGAGCCGGTCTGTTCTTGTCCAGTTCTAACTGTTGCTTCTTGACCTGCATACAGATTTCTCAAGAGGCAGGTCAGGTGGTCTGGTAAGGTCAGGTGGTCTGGTTATTTCCTATCTCTTTTAAGAATTTTCCACAGTTTGTTTTGATGTGTTCTGTAAAGCATGCACAAATAATACACATCAATGAGCACTTTTATGGTTTGTCTTATGTAGAGGGGATGCCTTATTAAATGGAATTTTTATTGCTGTTTGGCTTGTTAAAAAAATCTGAATGTTATTTTTATTTCATTACAGATAGGTGATCTTCAGCTTTGCAAACTCGATGAACTAGATTGCTTAATAAAAGGAATTTTGTATATTGACTCAGTTGGATTCAATGGACGCTCACAGTGCTATTATTTTGAAAACCCTGCTGATTCTGAAAAATGTCAGAAGTTACCATTTGATTTGAAAAATCCATACCCTCTGCTGCTGGTGAACATTGGCTCTGGGGTTAGCATCTTAGCAGTATATTCCAAAGATAATTATAAGAGGGTCACAGGTACCAGGTAGGTCTTTTATATAAAGGTCATTGTTTATTCTTGATATCATAATGGGTTAAAACTGAGTTTTCCGGTATTGTGTATCAGTACATCTTCAAGAACTTATTAAAATTATGTGAAAGGTATATTTCTGTGGGATTATGCAGACAAATATTGTTACTCTTTGAAAGTTATGATTTCATGATCTACTTCTCTTTAATCTATAATCCTGAAGTTTCATTGCCATAGTTTTACAAAATATCTCATCAGCCTCATTGAGCCCATGGTCCCTGCCCTCAGATAGTGTATGCTGTGTATATACCATAAAGTAACCAAAGCCACTAGGTGACATTTATAAGGAGAGGGCAAGGCAAGATCTAACCTTTGAAACTGGCCTAGATTTTACATGTATACATACATATATGTAGCTGGGGGATGTTGTGAGATCTAGAAGTTGAGGTACCGAACAGTAGAAAGATAATTGAGGGAGAGTAGTTAAAAGGGAGGATTAGGTGGCAGATGAACATAAATACCTTTTGGTTTAAGGATTAGTGATCACTTGAAAAACAGGAGCTGGAGATTGGGATAAACAAGTTTTGAACATGTTGTGAGTTAAAGGAATAATTTTGGGAGAGAAAACATATTCATGGAGGAGTTTTAGTAGGGTAGAGGGGCTAAAGATCCCAGATGACAAGACTCTTGGATGAGGATGATGTGGGGCTTGCACTTGGAGAGAGAAAAGAAAGAGGTGCCATCATGGCCCTGGTGGGCTGATCTATACCTGAGACTCCTGGTATCCAGCAGGTGCCCAGCCTGCATTGGGAACGTAAGGAGGTGGGCCCTGTGTTTTGCCACTTTGTTGGCTTGTGTGAATATGTTATCCTCAAAGTGTCTATTAGACACTTTGTTTTTGTCTTTTCACAGACTTGTTTTCTACTAGTGGCATCTGCATGATGGAGATGGGGCAAGATTGGATTGTTACATGAATATGGTTTTCAGATCATAAATTTTACTTTCCTCTTCTTATTTTGAAAAGTGTTTCAATACTATGTTTGTTTTTAATCACAGTCTTGGAGGAGGAACTTTTTTTGGTCTTTGCTGTCTTCTTACTGGTTGTACCACATTTGAAGAAGCTCTGGAAATGGCATCACGTGGAGATAGCACCAAAGTGGATAAACTAGTGCGAGACATTTATGGAGGGGACTATGAGAGGTTTGGACTGCCAGGCTGGGCTGTGGCTTCAAGGTAAGGGAAGAGGGCATGTGTGCTCTAACAAATACAGGATGTACAAAATGGAATGTTATCAGCCATAAAAAAGAACAAAATCATTTGTGGTAACATGGATGGACCTAGAGATTCTCATGCTGAGTCAAGTAAATCAGAGAAGAACAAATACATGGTATTTCTTACATGCAGAACCTTAAAAAAAGCTACAAATGAACTTACGTACAAAACCAAAACAGAGTTGCAGATGTAGAAAATAAACTTAGTGTTATGGTGGGGGGTGGGTGGTAGGAGGAGGTAGGAATAAATTGAAAGATTGGGATTGACTCATACACACTACTATACATAAAATAGACAACTAGTAAGGACTTGCTGTATAGCACAGGGAACTCTGCTCAACACTCTGTAATGTCCTGTATGGGAAAAGAATCTAAAAAAGTAGATATGTGTGTGTGTAACAGAGTGCCTTTGCACGTGAAGCTAACAGTGCTGTAAATCAATTATATACACCCCAGTAAAAATTTTAAAATGACACGGGAATAAAGTATTAAGTATTGGGTGTGTTTTTTACTCTTTAAATAGCTTTGCATACTATAAAGTCACCTGTTTAAAGTGTACAATTTAGTACTTTCTAGTATATTTATAGAATTTTGCAGTCATCTTTGTAGTGTAATTTTGGAATATTTTCATCGTCCCAGAAAGAAACCTTGCTTCCATCAGCTCTCTCTCCCCATTCCCTCCCTCTCCCCATAGTTCCTGGTAAACACTAGGCTGTTTTTTGTCTCTATATGGCATCATACAACAAGTGATTTTTGTGACTGGCTTCTTCACTTAGCATAATGTTTTCAACATTCATCCTTGTTGTATCATAAATCAGTACTTTGTTCCTTTTATTGCTGAATAATATTCCATTGTATTGCTATACAACATGTATCTTTTGGGTTTTAACTGCTTTAACAGGTGTAAAAGGATATCTCATTTTAATGTGTATTTAACTGATGAATAATGATGTTCAACATTTTTTTATGTTTAATAAGTTTAATATTTTAATAAACATTTTTAATATTTAATAAGATTCGGCTTATGGGATCTTCCTGGACCAGGGATGGAGCCCGTGACCTCTGCATTGTCAGGGGGATTCTTATCCACTGTACCACCAGGGAAGTCTGGGTGCAAGGCTTTTTTATTTTTTTTTGCAAGGCTTTTAATAATAGAAAAGGCACTGTATACTTGCTTGTTTACTAATTTTAGGTACTTTGTAAATTCTGTAGATTTCATTTTCTGTGTTTGTAACATTTGCTCAATGATAAGATCCCTTTTCTGATTGGTTGGGTTTGTGATCAAGTCATAGTTATCTATGTATCAGTTTTGCTCACCTGGCTTCCCTGGTGGCTCAGAGGGTAAAGTGTCTGCCTGCAGCTTGGGAGACCTGGATTTGATCCCTGGGTCAGGAAGATCCCCTGGAGAAGGAAATGGCAACCCACTCCAGTGCTCTTCCCTGGAAAATCCCATGGACAGGAGCCTGGCAGGCTACAGTCCATGGGGTCACAAAGAGTCAGATATGACTGAGCGACTTCTCTCTCTGCTCATCAGGTACCTTGAAATACTTGATCTTCTAGGGAAATCGGAAACTGTTAAAGTAGTTTACTCAGGGACTCAGCTGTCTGTACTATGCTTTGCTCAGATAAAGCTGTTTACCAGATGTGAATGTGACCCTTCAGCTGAGCGGAACAGCTTTATAGTTGGGAGAAGATCACTAATTGAGGCGTGTTCCTGGAACTTAGCCTGGTTTCAGAAGGAGCGTGGTACTTTCAGTGGATCTGAATGTGCTTAGTCGCTCAGTTGTGTCCGACTCTTTGCGACCCCATGGACTGTAGCCCGCCAGGCTCCTCTGTCCATGGGGATTCTCCAGGCAAGAATACTGGAGTGGGTTGCCATGCCCTCCTCCAGGTGATGTTCCCAACCCAGGGATCGAACTTGGGTCTCCCCATTGCAGGCTGAACCTGCAGGGAGGCCCACACCTGGTGTCAAAGCTAGATTTTGTAGTACCCTCAGGGAATGCCATTTGCTCATTCAGAATGCTTGAGTTCTTGAAGTTGCATTTCTTTTTGAGCAGATGTTCTGTTATTTTGTAATAAAAGTTAGACGATTTGAACAGTGTTGTGCTGAAAGTTACTTTTATCTTAGTAAAGTACCCTTAAGTTCTGTTATGCTGTTTTACCTTTGGTTTAGCAACCGTTTATTTTTTTTCCATCACAGCTTTGGAAACATGATGAGCAAGGAGAAGCGAGAGGCTGTGAGTAAAGAGGACCTTGCCAGAGCGACTTTGATTACCATCACCAACAACATTGGCTCAATAGCAAGAATGTGTGCCCTTAATGAAGTAAGGGGACATGGATTTCTTTAGTTGCTCTGAGGAAAATACAGAACTTACTATGTGGGCCCCACCTTGTATACAGCGTCTGTCTTCTCCGAACAGTGCCTAAATGTAGTTGTAAGTGGTGGATTTTGTTTCATTGGCATAGTTAAAATGCTTCACATGTAGATTAATCTTAACAGATTTTTATTTTATTAATCAAGATAAACACTGCTACAATCTAGAAGTAGAGCAGAAAGCAGAGGAAGAAGGTAGGGAAGGTAGCCAGTTTTGCAGATAATGGGGGCTGTTGGGTGGTGGTGAAGGGTGGTGATGCTGAATATAGATACCATGCTCACTGTTGAGCTCAGGAGTCCCTGGGAATGAATCCAGAGGAAGGCACTGAAGCTGGGAGAAAACGGAGTGGGCCGAGGAATGCCCACCCTGCTCCCCTCCAGCTGGCTGCAGCAGAGCTGTCTTTGTGCTTTCAGCTTCTTTACAGTGCTGCCTTGTAGCATTCAGGTCAAGCAGCATTGTACAGGGCTATGAAAGAACTAAGAATGGCCTTCCCTTGGGGATCCAGTTGGTATAACTTGTCCCTATTTATACACTTTGGTTTAAAATAAGGCTTTTAAATAGATAATTCAGGCATGTGACTTAAATCTCAGGTTACAAAAGGATTGTCTCTTTTTAGTTAAAAGATACTGTATTTTCATGAAGAAATTTAAAATTCTTTATTTGAATGTTTTAACACTTCTGTTTTCTTTGTTGCACGTTCCTTTTCCTGTGCTTATGTATTTTAAGATATTTTAGTTGATGTACATACAATTTTGTTTTTTACTTATGAATTATAAATTGCAGGGTTGTATATTTGATTTCTTTTTATATCATAGGTCATTCACATAGAACTGGTCATTTGGTTGCTTGTCAGTGATCGCTCTGTGATAAAGCATTTTTAAGCGTGAAACTATTTCCTTGGATGGTTTTATTCTTTTTTTTTTTTTTTTAAATGTTTATTTTTGTTTATTTGGCTGCAGTGGGGTCTTGTGGCATGTGGGATCTAGTTCCCTGACCAGGGATTGAACCCAGGCCCCCTGCACTGGGAGTTTGGTGTCTTACCACTGGACCATCAGGGAAGTCCTTGGATTTATTCTTGATAAGGGATTTATTCAGGAATGAGATTTCTTATCTAAAGAATATCATACTTGTGGGGCTTCCTTGGTGGTCCAGTGGCTGAGACTCCACGCTCCCAATGCAGGAGGCTCAGGTTTGCTGCTTAGTCAGGGAACTAGATCCCACATGATGCAACTGAGACCTGGAGCTGCTAAGTAAAGAGATAAAGTAAATATTTTAAAAAAGAATACCATGGTTATGAATCTTGATGGATATTGCCAAGATGCTTTGCACAAGGGCTGCACCATTTTAGATCATTCTTAGCAATGAATGAATGGATCAGTTTTACCACAACTTGACTAATATTGGGGGTTAGTTAGAATTTCTGTTAGTTGTTTTGCTGACTTTTTTTTTCTTGTAGTGCCTATCTAAAATATAGTTTTATTTAAGACTGTGTTTTCCATTTACAGTGCGTATAAAGTACAGTGTTATTTCCTTTCCCTGTGCGCATATTCAGCAGTATCAAGAATGCCCAGTTGTTTACTGTAGGAGCTCAACTTTAAAACCGCCTTGGAATTTGTTTGTCCTTCAATGTTTTTGTGTGAAACAATGCTAAATCCATACTAAGTTGATGTAATCAAACTTCAGTGGTGAGCCCAGGTGGAGGTGCTCTGTCACCAGGCAAGCCCCCAGGCATTCCTCCTGGCTGGCCTCCGGTGCTCTCATATAGCTTGGTAGTGATAGACTTGCAGACTTTTTTTTCCAGCTCCGTCTGCCTTTGTTTCGATTCTTCCTTCACAGTTTGTAGTATGTAAGATCTTGGGTCACTCAGACATCCAAGGAAGGGAACTGTCAACATCTAGAGTCTTTGCTAACTTTTAATGGCTCTAAAATTTTTACTTTTTTTGCTCATTTAGTGAGGTTGAATTTTTGTGTGTGTGATATTTTCTCTTATAATTTGCCTGTGTGTTACTTTTCTTCTTTGAATTGGTCTTAGTATTTTTTTTTTTAACTTATCTGTGTAAAACTTTGTATTTAATTGTAGTTATGGTTTTTCATGTTAATTCAAATGCTTTTCCTAATCTTTATTCTCCTGTGACATTTTCTGGCGTGCTTTGAACTGGGTTTAGAGTTGTCTGGGGCTCAAATTTAAGTAGCCCTGGATCAACTGGAGTAAATGTAAATACTTTTTTTTTTTGATCAGCAGTCAACTTACTAACAGAAACTATGTACGTGATACTCTCTTTGGGGTAGCTTTTAGGAGAGAACAGAAATTAACATGAAAACTAATTGCCTTTTTTTGATGTGCTCAGAACATTAACCAGGTGGTATTTGTTGGAAATTTCTTGAGAATTAATACGATCGCCATGCGGCTTTTGGCATATGCTTTGGATTATTGGTCCAAGGGACAGTTGAAAGCACTTTTTTCGGAACATGAGGTAAGCAGAGTTATTTCCTGTGACATGTTACCTTCATAAAGGGTGTGCTGTTCACGCTATGCTAGAATTTGAAGCAGTACTTATTATTATTTGTTTCTGTACTTGTATAATGTGGTTAACTTTGTTCGTATTCAAAAGCTGTTTCTTACCTGGTTTAATGTAAGGTAAATATTTGGTTAATTTTATTGTGAGCTTTAATTTTTTGATGTCAGTTTTTATCGTGTTAATATAGTTCTTGTGCCAGTTATTTTATTTAAGATGTATGTCCTAAAACCAACTCCATCAGTAAAAAGCATTCCAGAATTAGAGCCACACTGTTGTAAGAACTTAACACATAGGCTGTGTGAAAAAGAATAATTGAATTGCTCAATCTGATATCCTATTTTGGAAAGTGTCTTTCTGATTTGAGGAACAGTAAAACCAGAGCTATGAAAGGGACTTTGTCTTTCCTCCCCTTGGTTTTGGGGCAGTTGGACTCTTTCAAGTGTTAAAGGGGATTGCAGATTGTGTCAGCATGAACACTTTTCAGCATTGTGTTTGCATACTTACTTTATGATATGAACCCTTTATCAAGTTTGGTTTTCCTCTCTGGCTAGCCTGTTTGCTCTTTGTCCTTGTATTTTCCATTTTCATTTAGGCCTCTGGCTCTAATGTTGATATCTGTACTTCTGGAGCTCTGATTATTTTAGGTTCTCTGAGTCATGAAATATACTCCTGCTTGCACACTGAAGTCATTGAGATTACTGTTGTGAAAGCTTTGTATAGATTGTTTTCAAGCCTTTTTCATTTTTCACTGTTCTCATCTCACACTTCTTGGCTTGTAACAGTCTCTGTCTGTTACTAGATAGGAACTTGGGTCTGGAGTGGAACTCAGTATAATGGTTAATTTTATCCCTTCTTTTCTGTAAAATAAAACCGAGATATAGAAAATAATGTAAAACAAAAGTGTGTAACTAACTGTTATGACTGCATTTCCTCTGCAGGAGGTGCTGGTTTAATTCCTTGAATGGGAACTAAGTCTGTGCATGCTGCAGGGCATGGCCAAAAATTTAATAATAATAATAAAGTGAACACCCTTGAATTCTGTCCTCTGGCAGAATTGAGGGTTTCTGAGTGTTGCTGAGTCTTGCTCAGCTGTGTCCTCCTACAGTTTCTGACTTTGTCGTAACACGTTTGTGTGGCTTTTTTTAAGAAATTTCTTTTTAATTGAAGAATAATTGATTTACAGTATTGTGTTGGTTTCTGCCATACACGAACATGAATCAGCCATAGGTATACGTATGTCCCCTCCTTCTTGAACCTCCCTCCCACTTCCCATCCCTCTGGGTTGTCAGAGCACCAGTTTGAGCTGAGTCATACGGCAGACTCCCACTGGCAGTTTTACATGTGGTAGTGTATGTTTCACTGCTACTATATTTGTCCTGTTCTCCTCCCCAACTCCAACCCCCTGGCCTCAAGTCTGTTCTCTACATCTGCGTCTATATTGCTGCCCTGCATATAGATTCATCAGTACCACCTTCCTAGTTTCTATACATATGCATTAAAACGCAATATTTGTTTTTTCTTGTTCTGACTTCAGTCTGTATAATAGGCTCTAGGTTCATCCACCTAATCAGAACCGACTCAGATGTGTTCCTTTGTATGGCTGAGTAATATTCCATTGTATATATGTACCACAGCTTCTTTATCCATTCATCTGTTGGTGAACATCTAGGTTGAGTCCATGTCCTAGCTATTGTAAATAGTGCTACAGTGAACATTGGGGCACATGTGTCTCTTTCAGTTCTGGTTTCCTTAGGGTATTTGCCTCGTAAGGGGATTTCATATGGAAATTTTATTCCTATTTTTTTAAGGAATCTCCATACTGTTCTTCATGGTGTTTGTATCAATATAAATTTCCACCAACAGTGCAAGAGGGTTCCCTTTTCTCCACACCCTCTCCAGCATTTATTGTGTGTAGCCTTTTTGATGATGGCCATTCTGACTGGTATGAGGTGATACGTATCTCATTGGAGTTTTGATTTGCATTTCTCTAATAATGAGTGATGTTGAGCATCTTTTCATGTGTTTTTTAGCCATCTGTTTATGGGTATGGCTATGTATGTTTTCTTTAGAGAAATGTCTTTTTAGGTCTTTTCCCCACTTTTTGATTAGGTTGTTTGTTTTTCTGATACTGAGTTGTATGAGTTGCTTGCACATTTTGGAAATTAATTCCTTGTCAGTTGTTTCCTTTGCTATTATTTTCTCCCATTCTGAGGGTTGTCTTTTCACCTTGTTTGTAGTTTCCTTTGCTGTGCAAAAGCTTTTAAGTTTAATTTTTAAATTTTTGTTTAGTTTTGTTTTTATTTCCATTACGCCAGGAGATGGGTCATAGAAGATTTAATTTTTGTTTAGTTTCGTTTTTATTTCCATTACGCTAGGAGATGGGTCATAGAAGATCTTGCTTTGATTTATGTCATCGAGTGTTCTGCCTATGTTTTCCTCTTAAGAGTTTTATAGTTTGTGGTCTTAGGTTAAGGTCTTTAATCCATTTCGAGTTTATCTTTGTGTATGGTGTTAGGAAGTGTTCTGATTTCATACTTCTACACATAGCTGTGCAGTTTTCCCAGCACCACTTTTTGAAGAGACTGTCTTTTCTCTGTTGTATATTCTTGTGGCTGCTTTTTTTTTTTAAGCCAAGAAGTAGAGTGAAAGGGCAGGCCTCTCTTGTGTGGCCGCGTGTTCTTTGGAGAAGCTTTTCTTGGAAAAGCTTGAGGAATCTGAACCTTAGTTATTTATAATACTGCAGAGACTTATCATATGTTCTGTTCCACAGCAGGTCTTTCAGGATCTTCCCATGCTCCTTTTGTGTTCACTTCTCTCTCACACTGCCTTACTGTGTGATCACATCCTTTGGAGACTGGTAGATTCTGTATCATTGTACGATTATTCTGATTGTTACTGGCAGTTTCTTTCTGCCAGTGTGGGTTTTGTCTCGTTTTCTTTTTAATTTATTCATGTCTTGGTTGTTTTTGACCTCGATTGCTTACTTCAGGAGCTGGTCCAGCATGGTCTTCCTTCAGCCGCTGCTTCTCTGTCTCACGTCTCTGCCTCCCCCCCCGCCCCCGGTGCCTCTGTTCTTCACATGTTGCTCCTCTAACCTCATGCCTCTCTACGTGTTGCCTGAGGGTTCTGTGATCCTGCTGGCTGCTGCCTCGCTCCAGATCTAGACATCTGGTGGGTGTGTACCTCGGCTTTGCACATCCTGTATGGAGCCCCCTTCCTTGCTCTCCACATCTCTTGCTCCTGTGTCCTTGTTCTCAGGGGTGGTGTGACGGGATGTGGGGGAGGGACCTCAACCTCCCTGCCACCCTCCTTCTCTTCTTCAGGCCAAGTCTTGAACCCATCCCACCCCGTTCTTTGCTCTCCACCTCCAGCCCAGCAGGGCCCTCACCCTCTGTGACTTGTCCTGGCTCCTGCTCCATTGCACTTCATGTCTCAACTTCCCTTCATTCTGGAATTATCTTGAAATCCTCCAGGCCCCCATTGCTTCTCATCGCCTCATTCCCCAGGAGACGGCCCAGGTCCTCTCTCTTAACCAGAGGTAATGAGCGCTGTGGGCCTCAGAGCTTGTGGAGCCCTCGCTGAGCGCTCTGGTCTGATGTGCCAGGGTGCCCTCACCTGCCTGGGAGCTCCTCAGAACTGCTCTGCTGGCCTTGGGCTTGGCAAAATGGGCATCAGGAAATGAGTGGCAGGAATTAAGGGCCGTGTTGGCTTTAATACTAGTAATCATATTTATGGTAATATAAGTAAGTCTAAGGAGAATTGCTCTTATTTTTCTTTCTTTTTGCTTTCAGGGTTATTTTGGAGCTGTTGGAGCACTCCTTGAGCTATTGAAGATCCCCTGACTGTTACCTGGGGAGGGGTTCCTGGAACCTTCCACAATGGGATCTGTGGATGGACTCTTTTTTTTAAGACTTACTCAGTTTGATTGTGTACTACCTGAATCAAAGCGAGAAAGGACAAGTGTATTTTTATAAGTCATCAAGATAAATTCTTAAAAATTCAGTCTGAACTAATAACCAGTAAGGAAATATATATGCATTTAAAAAAAAAAGTGGACCATGTCGGTGAGGATTCTCTGTATTTAAGTTGCTCTTCAGTATAGCTTTGTTCAACGTGCTGTGTACTTTTGAAATTCAGCATCACTCAGTGGAGCCACTTCAGGAGAGAGCTCTCCTTTGTTCAGCTGGCTTTGGTTTTGTGTCCTGTTGAATTTGGTAAATATAAGGCAAGCAACTCTGTATTACAGTCTAATCACACTTTTGTCAGTGTGGCCTTGGAGAGCGTCATCTTTGCATTAACTTTGTGTGTATAGCCTTGTGTGAACATTGAAAAATGTTTCAAGGTTCTGCAAACTTATCGGGTAGGTGAATTCTTAATTCTGTGCCTGTAACTTTTAACAAGCTACTTTTGGAAGGGCAGTTCCAGGTTCCACTAGATCCGGGGAAGGTGTGTTTGGGATGACAGGACTTCTCCCCTGGGCAGGATTTCCTTGGGTATTGGATGGATTATGGATGTGACAGAAGTGAGTAAGCTAGTAGAAAAAGCATATCTGGAAGGGCCAGACAGAAAAAACAGAAAGGGCTGCTAGTATTGACGTCTTTTCAGGGAATGGGGGGAATCTGGTTATTGCAGGCCAGTAGAAAGGGGAGAATGGAGCTGTCCATCAGCCATGGAGAACGGGGCGGGGCTTCTGCTCTTCCCCTTGTGCTTGCCTGAAAGTGCCTGGGAGTTTGCCTCAGTTGGATATAGTGGAGGGGCTGTATGTGGGAGGCTCAAAAGGCTGTTTGAGGAGAGGCAGATTTTTAGATAAGAGTCTTGGTGGGGGTTGACTTTGAATTTTTTGTTTCTGCTGTGCAAAATGATTTAAAAACCTCCTTGGAGAGAGAGCAACATTTGTATCTCATTTTGGTATTACTTGGTGCCTGCTTCCCTGGTGAAGGCAATGAAGGTTTTATGTAAAGCAGCCTTTGAAACAGAAGGAAACCCCAAGGCTCTCTGGCCTCCCTGTGCCCCTTGGCTTCAGACCAGGAGACTGGCCTGGGAGGGACCACATATGGTAGGTGATATTCCAAGGGACAGAGGGGCACAGGAGAGTGGGCTTGGACCACCGAGGGAGGAGGGAGTTTGACCCCGCAGTCCCCTCCCTCTTGGCTGTTGTCAAGAGTCATGGCCCGCCCACCTGCCCGGAGGGCACAGCCTGCGTGGGGTCAGCGCAGGGCCATTTCCCAAGGGTGGCCACCCTTGCACACGTCCTGGGCACGTGTCGGTTGTGGTGCTGCTGGCTGGTGCAGGCTGTGGAGCTGGAGGGACACTGGGGGATGGGAATTGCAGCCCAGGGCCATGTGATCAGTTTCCTCTGCTGCTGCTGCCCCTCCTGGGCCTCAGCCTGAGTCACCTCCAGTCCTATCCTGCCTTCGGCCCACTCCAACCATGTGCTTGTAGCCCCAACTTACCCCACGGCCACCAGAGTCAGTGCCACCACCCTCTCACTGGTACCATAGTCATGCTTTTCACGCCCCTTGTACCCCAGACCCTCTTTCCTGCTTCCACTGGGCAGAGGAAGGGAGCCTGAGTAAGCCTGGTTGCTGCCCATGGACACCCAGGTTGGCCTCTTAGGCCTCGTGGGGTCCTGCCTTTTCTCCTTGCACTTACTACTGTGTTCGTGAGGCTGTGCCAGTGCTTTTTGTGGGTCGTGTCACGCAGCCCTTGTCATCCCCACCATTTAACAGAAGAAGGAACCTGCCCAAAGTCACACAATTAGGATCCAGCAGAGCCCCCTTTCCTCTTATGCCTTGCAGTTGCCTTCCACCTCCATGGATTCACCACTTCCTGCTCTTGAGAAACTGCTCCTGTGGCTACACTTTGTGCTTCTGATTAGCCCATCCTTTTACTACAGTGAATCTCATTGCTAAATCTGATGACATTTCATGTTCTCATCTTCTTTAGTTCTATCATTGCAGACCACACTTGCTTTTCCTTCTACCTTCTAGGCCACTTTGTCTCTGCCAGTTTATTCTCCACTGAAGACAGATTGCCAGCTCTCAGGCTCAACCCTGGATCTACTTAAGCAGACATCACTCATTTTGATTTCCAGGATAGCATGTCTGGTCCAGCCCTTGCCTCTAAGCTTGTCTCAAGGCAGTGACTGCCTTTTTCCTCTGCCCCCTTTTCTGTATCTCCAGGTCATCTTTACACAGAAATGTCTCCATCCTTTCCCCTGAACCTCTGCCAGCATCCTCTCCCAGTTACTGCTACTTCACTAACTCCAGTTTGTAAGATGCGTGGAAGCTTAACCTTCACCACAGGCACCACCCTGATCTAAACCACTGCCCTGTCTCATCAGCAGTTACCCCTTCCAGTCTGCCAGCCTGGGTAGCCTGAGGGTCTCACCCCACACTCCCCCACTAGAGGCAGTGGGGGTGGTAGTGGCTGTAATAATGGTGTAGGTGTGAAAGGAAGGTGGCCAGCCTAAGATGGGAGCAGTGTATGGTCAGGTAGAGAGAGGTGCTTTAGTGGGTTTAGAGATGTGGAGATTGGAAGTGGGGGAAGGAGGTTCTGTGAGGGTACTTAGGCTTGCTGGGGGGGACTTGATCTTGGGCTGCCTGAATTTTGATGCCAAATAGGCCGCTGGATATTTAGGTTGGAGACAATAGACCTGACAGTGATGTGCATGTAGGTGGCAATTTAGTGACTCCCAAGGTAGAGTGAGAATAACAAGAGATGGACAGAGAAGGACAGGGCTGTGAAGAACATTGAAGAGGGGACTAGCGCAGGGGGCCTGTTGCTCAGGAGACTGGAGGGGAGAGGAGCCCTCCAGGCACCCGCGCTAGGAGGTTTCAGAGTTGGCACAGATTTGGTTGCAGGTCATGGAAGGCCATGAGGGGAGCAGTTTTCCTGAATCTGTGGAGCCAAAGCTGAGCTGTGCAGAGGTCCTAGTGAGTGAGGGTTGGTGAATAGAAACAGTAGCTGCCACAGGATGGCTTTGGACTGAGATTTTGTTTCTCCTCCAGCAGAATAGTTGGTATTTCCAGGCCTGGGATATAGCTAGAGGAGTGAGGTGTGGGCTGGTTCCACCACTGCAACCCTCCTGAGTACTGGCGTCCACATTTGGGAGACTGCTTGACTGTGTCCCCCTACATCTCCGGAGCTGAGGCCAGGGGTGGCAGGGAGCCCTTGACCTCTCTCTGCCTTCTCCTTTGCTGTGGCCTGGTGCTCTACTCAGCCCTGACTGGCACCCCACACCACAAGGAGACAGGCTGGCTCCTCTGTCAGTCACCTGTTGCTGGTGATCAATTCCCATTTGTTCAGAAGCACTTACCTTGACTTTTCAGCTCTTGCCACATGGGCTTAAATGGGATGTGGGTGACCAAGGGTATGTATGTGCTCAGCACAAAGTATTTTTAAAATCTGCTTTTTATTTACATTTAAGTCAATTACATGCATGTTTTATTTTTTAAACGAGTAATTAGCAAAATGCATTAAAATTTTAAAATAGCAATTAAATATACAAAAATATATAGCTTATAAAAAAACTGCAAATGTTTAAAAATATTCTGCTGCAGAATTCATAGTGTACAAACATGTCTATGAAACCTGAGGCTCAGCGTTTCATAAACTTTTTTTTTGAAGGAGTTATACAATAGTGAATAAACCCCAGTGGGCTTAAAACTACAAGACTAATATCCCCTCTTTCTGGCAAAGATCTGTCAAGAGACCAAGAGAGGACAGTTCAGGAACACTTTCTTGGAAGACAGCTATCATCAGGAAAGAAACACTAGCCCCGTCTTATTCTTCTGTTCTAGGCCTTAGATGGAAGGCTGGATGGAGGGATGGTGTGCACCTGGCCCGAGATGCAGAGTTTCCAGGCTTGTACTAGCTCAGGGAACTGCAGGGCTATACTTCATCAAAGTATAGCCAAGGCCCTTGACACTGGTAGGTATGTGTCTCTGGAGCAGGGAGCCCCTGACTCTGTAGCCACAGAACTGAGTTCTGGGTTGATAAGCCACATGTGCTGATGCTTGGTCTAAAAGTGGAATAAAACTCTGCATCTTGCAACAACAATTCAGGCTCTGAAGCTGAATTGAAACAATAACAGATTTACTGAATAAGCCCCTCTATTTTCCTCCTCATGTTCCAATCAGATGGAAGCACATTCTGTGGCACACGGGAGCCTTCATTAATCTTACATACTAAAGGAATGTGACCCAGCATTTTCCAGTTATCAACTGCAGATTTCATCAGCATTCAGACACATTCATCTCCTTTGCTCAGATTCCTAAATACTAATAATGAAAGAGGTTCATCGATAGAAGGTGGTTTCACACATAGTTCCTTTCCAAATTTCTGGTCACAGGCTTAAGTTACACTTTTAATCCAGGGAATCCCTGGGCTGCTGCTGTGGGTGGCAGGATACTGGGGAGGTGGGTAAAGAATAAGAGGCACAGGTCCCTGCCCCTCCCCCCAAGGGCTGCCTGGAGGAAGTAGCTTTAACTCTGATCTCCTACAGAGGGAAGAATGAACTTTTTAGAAAAACTGTTGGTGGGGTAATTTCTCGTTGACTGGAAAAAAATGTTGGGCAAGAAGATTCTGTGGGAACATTTGCTTTTTAGTGTGTGCATAGAGTGGGGAGGGAAAGGGAATAGGTTCACGAAACTTGAACATGGACATTCATCCATGAGGCAGCTGACCACCTATTTGCTTAGCAACATTTGAGACATCTGCCCCACAAAAAGAATTGCTCACCCTTCTGCTTCTCCAACTCCTGCCTCAGAAACATAGCTTTGCCTAAGAAACTGACAGTTGTAGCCAGGTGTCACTGCTGGGCTGTCGGTCCTCACTGGAAACCAGGTTGGGGGCTGGGGTGCACCTGCAGCCTGTGCTGCTGCTGCTCTGGAGTGTCCTGCCACAGGCTGGGGACTTCCCTGGTGGTCCAGTTGCTAAGACCTCACTCTCCCAGTGCAGGGGGCCCGGGTTTAATTCCTGGTCCGGGAACTAGATCCCACATCCCACATTGGGGAAGGAGGAAAAAAAAAAAGCTTGTGCTCTCTTTAGGCATCTGTGGTTAGGGTCAGGGAGGGACTGTAGTTCGATTTGTATAGGAAACGGAGATTTCATCATGCTGCAATCAGTGGAAAATATGCCTTATTCAAAAGGAATGTGATTCCAAAAATATCCCCCAATTCTGGGCTCACCTTTTACAGATATTCTGACTTCTGGGATGGGTCTTCCCACATGACTAGGAATGGTCCTTGAGGAGGAGTAGTAGTAGTCTGGTATTACAGAAGTGGAAAAAGAAAAAAATTACACACATAGAGTTGATTCTTGAACAAGATGGATTTGAACTGAGGTCTACTTACACATGGATTTTTTTTCAATAGATACATTCTACACGGTCCAAGGTTGGTTGAATCCACAGACGCAGAACCACAGATGTGGATAGCTGACTGTCAAGCTACATGCAGGCCGTACAGGGTGTCAGCACCCCTAACCTGTGTTGTTAAAAGAGTCAGCTGTGTATATATATATACACATATACACACACACATACCTACATACATGTACGCGTGTGTGTACTTGGTTGTATATGCATGAACAAACTCTGGAAGTTCACAGGGAACCAACTAATAGTGTGTACTCAAGGGGTGGGAAACTTGGCTTACTGGAGTCCAGGAATCCTAGGACGGCTTAACTATGATTTGTGAACCACGTGAAGGGATTACCTATTAAAAGAATTTAGAAGGAATATTCAGCACTGAGTGGAAACCACATTGAGGAGCACAGTGGGCAAAGGTAAATGGAAGTGACTGAGGCAGATAAGGAGGGGAAAGGGGAGGGAGCCAGGTGAACTGGGGCTCAGCGGAGAGCCCCTAAATCTCAGGAGGCTCTCAGCTGTGGTGGTTTCTATCAGAACAACAGGGGAGTCCCATGTGGCCAGCATGATGATGTCACCTAGTAGCACCAGCTCCTATGACCCCCCAGGCCTGCCTGCTGGGCTCCAGACATGGTAGTCAATCCCCATAAGGGCTGGTGGGGGCACCCTTAGTACACATTCCTGGGCGAGCAGCTAAGGAAACGGGCTTTGAGAGGCTAGGAGAAAGGCACATGGCTAGTGAGTGGCAAGAGGGTGACTGAGAAAACCTGAGCAGCTTTTTGTCCAGAGTTCTGGGGATGTCTCCCTGTGTGCATTTCATAATTCCCAGAAAACCTCTCAGAAACAGTTACTATAGTTGTTCAACGTAACTTAGAGTGGAATCAGGCCATGAAGATGATAGGCTTTGGAACAGGGATGTGGAAAGAAAGGATCTTTGTTAAGAACAGGGCATTTAGCCATGGTGGGAGGTCCTCAGTATCCCTCAGCCCAGAACTCCCCATGGGCCACCTGCTCCTATCTGACCATTACTTGGCCTGACCAAATCTCTGTACCTACTCAGCCAGGAATCGGGTCAGGCTGGTTTTGTTTCCTGTTCCTGCAGCCAGCTGAACTCAGCTGTACCCCTAGTAACAACTAGATAATGATTGACCCACCCGTGGAGTCAAGTTGAGGCTAAGTTCTCCTCTAGCCCATGGTATACAAGCCACACCCAACTCTGGGCTGCTTAAGACATGTTAAGACCAAGTTAAAAAACCATGTCACCTGCCAGCGGCCCAAAAGCAGACCAGAGTCCTCACACAGATTAATAAAAGGTGAATAACTCATGGAAATAGATCTGGACAGGGCAGCCTCACTGTGAGGTGTGAGCCTGATCAAAGAGTATTAATGAATCTTTAACTTCCTTAATAATGGGGATTTAACCTTGTCCCTCACACAAAACTGATTTTAATCAATTAAAGGAAGATGTAAGTTAAACCCTGGCCACTCGGTTACAGCAGTGCAGCCCAGTTAAGTCCTGGAGGAGGACCTAGATGTGGGGCGCAAACACTTGTGTTAAGAGGCATAAGAACTCACGAGTGACACTGACCAGGTGACACTGGCCATGTTCCAGTAGGACGCTAAGCCAGGAAAGAGAAGATGACTACTAGCAGAGTGAACACAACCACTTCAGTGTCAAGCCCCACCTTAGTGGAAGAGCTGAGTTTTTAAAAGCCCTCCATATTCATAAATGCTGAGATTACTACAGATACAGGGACTTCATGAGTCTGTTTCCTTGGTACTGACACCCTGAAATCCTATGAAAGCTGTGAGATGAAAATAATTTGCAAGCACAGAACACAAGAATTCCTCCTCTGAAGGGAAAAATTCTTTTTCCTATTGGAACTCCATAATGAAGATGTGACATTTGTCCCAAGGCTGTTACATGAAAATGGTGAGAGTTGGCTATTGGTGAGGCAAGTCCAGAAGCAAGCCTACCTCTGACATTGGTCACTGAAAACATTTTACTGTAAACTGAGTGCTTTCCAGCATTCAACTCTATTGTGCTACAAATAGTGAATGCAGAAATGGTGAAAGTAGTATACAAATAGTTCTTTTCATGGGTGCCAGACAGGCTAATAAGGCTTTCATATAAAAATATTCCACACTTCCCTTGCCCTGTTTAAAGAAGCAGTCCAGTTGGCATACCACAAATAGGTCACATAGGGTACAGCCAATTCTGACCAATGGATTTGTAATTTTCCAAACTGGATTCTGCCCAGCACTTTCCTAGGGTAATGGGAATTTTCCTCCTCATCTGAGCCAAGGACAGGTTCCCTCTCCCATTCTAAGACAGTAGAGGCTGGATTCCAAAAATATTCCTGGAGACATTCCATGAACAGAGTACAGTTTCCTCCCTCCTCGCTCCATGTCATACACGCTGTATTTCCAATGAGAAACTGCCCCTATTCACACCTGGTGGGGTGGAGCAGAGGCAACACTTGAGGAGTCCACCTTCTATGATGGAAGGAGGTGGAGAGCAGGGCTGTGGAAAAGAACTTTATGTCTGACCCAGTGCTGCTTCACATAGTGAACTTATAAAGTAGTCATGAATCCTGCTAGACTCAGTCATTTCTAGAAAAGACAGACAGAACCAAAGAGCAGCATGCGTTTTTCTCCTATAACGACAGTTATCGTTAAGTCTGAATACTGAGGCACACGCCAATGATGAATAGCCCTGCAGGAGCTTCCTGAAAACTATTTATAATTGCAAGTGCATCCCTGGCTTCAGAATTCCATAGGGATCTTATCTGGGATGCTTTAAATAGTTAAAATGTCAACGACAGGCATTTTCTCTTGAAGAAGAAACAGATAGGGAAGGGAAGGGAGGGAAGAGAACAGAGGGCAGGACAGGGAGAGGCAAGGGGTTAGCATCCTCCTCAGCTCAGCAAGGCCAGGAGGACTGGACATTATCAGAGAGATGCGCCTTTTCGGAGCCATGTGAAGGGCTCACAGCAGCTTCCTACGGGGGCAGTGGGCCAAGACTAGCAGCTACACTAGAGCCACATTGTACATGTGGGGATGTGGGCAGCACCCTGGGGCCCTTGGGTCATACAGGGACAGCATGGGCTCAGAGACCCATCCCCTGCTGGGGCTCCTGATGGTGGCTTGGCTGTGCCTCATTGGTGAGTAGGAGGGGAAATATGAGGAAATGGCTTTTGACCAGACCTTTCCAAGCACATCTACTGTTTTTAGCTCAGATGATTTGATAAGCAAATGTTGTGAACTTGAGGAAGAATCACTGGTGGCAGGTACTGCTGCTTTGTTGTAACCAAGCCCCTGGGTTGCCAAGATGGCCTTATCAAAGGACATAATGTGAATAGCCTTGTTGGCACTGCCTCCAGCATTGCAACTGGTTGTGCTTGGGCTGAGGTAACCGCTGTTTTCACTTGGCTTAGAGGCTGCTGGGAGGGTTTGCTGCTACAAAGGTGTGCAGGGTCTGCAGAGAAGCTCGTGTCCCCAGGGTGTGTGTGGGGGGAGGGTAGGGGCTTTAAAGACCTGCCTTCAGTTCCCCTCTGGAACACTTGAGTTTGTCTTCCCTTCTGGTTGATAAAGATTCACCTTGGTGTGGAGATGAGTGTCTGGGAGACAGAATGTAATGGAGTTAGCAAGAGATCCTCATGAGGTTTCTTGAACCAGATTGCGGGCTCATCCGTTCCTCTTGGCACGGGGTAGTGTCAGAGCACTTTGGTTGTCACAAGACCCAGAAGTCTGGGTTCCCAGCCTGGCTGGCCCGAGAGTTCTTCAGGAGACAAAGGAAGCAGCAGCTGGCGCCCTAGGTAGAGCAGTCAACACAGAGACCACTTGTGTTCCTTCCAGCTCTGCTCCTCCCAGATCCTGCAACAGTTTGGTCCTTGTGGTGAGCTATACAATGTTCTCTGCCCCAGGGAGGGGTCCCTGTAGGGGTCCACGGTCCTGCTTACTGTGCAACTGGGCCAGCTGCAGAACTGGCATGTTGCACAGTGGACATACTTTGCGAACTTCCAGCCATTTAATAAGGCACCTACAGAATGAGACACCACAAGAGGCAAGATGTCAGTCCTGTGTTTGTGGCACCACCTGCCCACACACCTCACATGCTGAACATTTTGGAAACCCAGATCTGGGGAGTAGAGTGAACAGCCAGGTCTTGAAGAGTTCTACCACTGGGTGGAGAATGCATTTCATTCTCTGGAGGAACCAGAGACTCCAGTTTTCCAAGAAGCTACAGTCAGCATATATCCTCAGTCATCCATGACTTCTTAAAGAAGGAAGTACACTGAGGAGGATGGTGGGAAGGAGGAGGAATAAAGTTTTCTAGTATACATACAAAACATAAAATTGTAAGAGAGGGAGGAATATTAAACATGTCTGTAGGAAGGGGGAAGAGATGGTCCTACACTACCACTTACACTGACATTTATTTTGATTTAAAATAATTATGGTTTTGATTAAAATAAACTTTTAGGAAAGGAAATTCTTATTGAAAAGTTCCAGTAAAATAGCTTTTTATAGCCTGGGTCTCCAAGGAGGTATGGGCTTGTCTGACTCTTGCCTTAAGTCCTGCCTTGGTAGTCACATTGCCATTACCCTGGTCCCTCCTAATGTCTGTCTGTCTGTCTGTCTGTCTGTCTGTCTGTCTCTCTCTCTCTCTCACTTACACACACACACACACATAAATACAAACACCACTCAGTAAGGTGCTTTCAGCCTTCTCCATCATAAACCAGTCATGAGTCATCAAGCTTGTCCGGTGCTGCCCCAAGCCCATGGGTGAGCTGGTCAATGTGCCTCAAGCTCAGGTCCTCTTAAATAGTGCCATGCTAATACTCACTTTCTGTGGAAGGCATGCTTACATGGACAGATCCCCAACTCATCTCGAGGCTTGAAGTCTTCTAGACACACTGCACAGAGCTGAAAGACAGATTTGCAGATGAGGCAAAGTATCTTCTAAAGTCACTCCCCAGGCCAATGTAAAGTGCAGGCCCCTGAAACCCAGCCATTTGAAGGGACTTCCAGTATCCCACAAGTATTTTGAGTGAAAGAAACAGGATCAAATGGGAAGGCCTTCTGAAGAAGAGTCTCCTGCTCTTCCTGCACATATCTCAAAATTTGAGGGCAGATGAGAGAAGACAGGAAGCAAGGGGCAGGTTCCTTCAGTCCATCGGAAGAGTCTGACTTAGGTTTCTTTGTATCAGATAGACTGAACATAACTTTATTTTTTGTGCTGTGCCAAGGAGCTGACTTTCTGTAGGAAATGCTCTGCCTACCCAGCAGTAGAGCCCCTGAAAGGACTGCTCAGATCCTGAGGGTGCTGGGGCTCTCCTTTTTCTGCTCTTCATAATATGGAATCTGTAAACCATAGCACAGCCTTCAGTAATATGCCTCTTGTAGTTCCTGGGGTCCCTTACTCTGACACTGTCCTGTCAGTGTCTGTCTTTGTCATATAAAAAGTGATTCAAGAGTCACTGAATTTAAACTTAGCAAAATGTGCAGATGGGGCCAGGATTGCTCTGATAGGTGGCTAGCCTCAACTGCTTGGAAAGAAGTCTTATTCAAACCAGATGATGGGTTCCAACCACTACTTCTTGAGCACTTAACAGTGCCAAGGGACACCAAATATCGTCCCACTTACTCAATTTACAGATGGGGAAACTCAGAGCAGTAACCATGTTGCCTAGAGGCAATGCAGTTGGTGAGTGGCCAGGCCTGGCTGAGGATCCAGGTCTGTAAACATTTTCATCTGCCCAAAGCTTGAACTCCTCCCTGCTTGCTTCCCTGTCCATCTCCAGGGATCCTGGTTAAACCATCACCATTTCTTGTCCAGACTGCTGACCAGCCTCCCTGTCACCCATTTCTTAACCTATAATATATAATCCAATATTCGCAGGTTTTGTGACAGGACATGTGGCTCTTTGTGCCCTGTGGCTAGTGCTATGAATGTTGGTCTTCCATCACCCTTCTCCACAGAACTCTCAGGGCCTTGCGTATGTAGCAGATAAGATCTTCACAGGAGGAGGAGAATGGATAAGTGTCTTCTCAGATTTGGATTACTGCTGACACAGCACGAGAGGAGGGAGGAAAGCAGGACAGATGGCTGGCCTTGGTTTGGACACCCAAGCTGTGTGACTTCTGCCATCATGATACCTCTCAAGCTCTGTTCCTTCATTTGCAGGGTAAGGATATTATGTGCCTCTCCCTCCCTCTACCTGAGACTGTCATCATGTCATCAGCTCAGGTTGGGGGCAGGCCTGAGGAGGCAGGAAGGCATTCTACCAGTTTTTATTCATATTTAAATTTAGTGACGGGAACACTATTTTCAAGCCCATTTTTGCTTTCTGGAGGAAGGTTAAGAACAAGCTGTGGGTAAAGATGAGAAACTAGGAGTTTTGGTCTTGGGATGATCTTTTGGGCTTCAACTTCCCATCTGTAAAGGGGGAATGATGTTCCCACCTCCTACACTATGTGAACAGGTCTGGCCTTAACATCCAGCTTTCCTCCTGGCATAACCTTCTGAAAAAAAACAACAAACACTGTGAGGACTGCTGGCTCTGCCCTGTAGAGATTCAGTGCTGATCCTACCAAAGGGCAAGATGTTGGATGAGTCATTCATTTTTATTTGGTTATTTTCCCAGAATCCAAAATTAGATTTGTAGCCTTTTCAAATGGAGTTACTATTAATGGCTATTATGTTCTTTTAAAAAAATTCTAAAACCATAGTCACTTGAAAAAAAAGAACAAGATAAACTCTGACATGTTAAGTGCTAAAGGTGACCAAAAGCCAAGGGTGGTCATGATGAGAAAAGCTTAGATCTGACTACTTAGCAGTTCCCTCAAGGGTCAAACTAATTTTACAAATTTATAGATTGTACTTTGCAAATGAGCTTTATTCTGCAGTATTTCAATGAGACTGTTTTTCTCACTCCTTTTAAAATGGAGATATAATTCATACACCATAATATCCACCCTGTAAAGCATACAATTCAGTGCATGCTAAGTCAGTTCAGTTGTGTCTGACTCTTTGCAACCCCATGGATGGTACCCCATAAGGCTCCTCTGTCCATGGGCTTCTCCAGGCAAGATAACTGGAGTGGGTTGCCAATTCCTCCTTAGGGGATCTTCCTGACACAGGGATTGAACCTGGGTCTCCTGCATTGCAGGCAGATTCTTTACTGTCTGTGCCACCAGGGAAGCAATTCAGTAGTTTTTTTTTTTTTTTTTAAATATATTCACAGAGTTGTGCAACCATCACCACTATCTAATTTGTACGTCAGCAGATTTGGAAAACTCAGCAGTGGCCACAGGACTGGAAAAGGTCAGTTTTCATTCCAATCCCAAAGAAGGGCAATGCCAAAGAATGTTCAAATTACTGTACAGTTGTGCTCATTTTACATGCTAGCTGGTGGCTCAGATGGTAAAGAATCTTCCTGCATTGCAGGAGACCTGGGTTGGGAAGATCCCCTGGAGAAGGAAATGGCTACCTGCTCCAGTACTCTTGTCTGGGGAACTCCATGGATGGAGGAACCTGGGACTACAGTTCATGGAGTCACAAAGAGTCGGACACAACTGAGTGACTAACACACTCATACATGCTAGCAATGTTATGCTCAAAATCCTTCAAGCTAGGCTTCAGCAGTACATGAGCTAAAAAATTCCAGATTTATAAGCTGGCTTTAGAAAAGGCAGAGGAACCACAGATCAAATTGCCAACATTTGCTGGATCACAGAGAAAGCAAGAGAATTCCAGAAAAACATCTACTTCTGCTTCATTGACTATTCTAAAGCCTTTGACTGTGCAGATCACAACAACCTGTGGAAATTTCTTAAAAAAAATGGGAATACCAGACCACCATACCTGCCTCCTGAGAAACCTGTATGCAGGTCAAGAAGCAACAGTTAGAACTGGACATGGAACAGCAGATTGTTTCAAAATTGGGAAAAGAATACATCAAGGCTGTGTATTGTCACCTTGCTTATTTAACTTATATGCAGAGAACATCATGTGAAATGCTGGGTTGGATGACTCATAAGCTGGAGTCAAGATTACCAGGAGAAAAATCAACCACCTCAGATATACAGATAATGATGCCACTCCAAAGGCAGAAAGCAAAGAGGAACTAAAGAGCCTCTTGATGAGGGTGAAAGAGGAGAGTGAAAAAGCAGGCTTAAAGCTCAACCTTCAAAAAATAAGATCATGTCATCTGGTCCCATCACTTCATGGCAAATAGAAGGGAAAAAGTGTAAACAGTGAGAGGCTTTATTTTTGGGGGCTCCAAAGTCACTGCACATGGTGACTGTAGCTATGAAATTAAAAGATGCTTGCTCCTTGGAAGGAAAGCTGTAACAAACCTAGACAGCATATTAAAAAGCAGAGACATCACTTTGCTGACAAAAGTCCATCTAGTCAAAGCTATGGTTTTTCCAGTAGTCATGTACAAATGTGAGAGTTGGACTGCAGAGAAAGTTGAGCACCAAAGAATTGATGCTTTCAAATTGTGGTGCTGGAGAAGACTTGAGATTCCCTTGGACTGCAAGGAGATCAAACCAGTCAGTCCTCAAGGAAATCAACCCTGAATATTCATCAGAAGGACTGATACTGAAGCTGAAACTCCAATACTTTTGGCCACCTGATGTGAACAGCCAACTCATTGCAAAAGACCCTGGTGCTGGGAAGGATTGAGAGCATGAGGAGAAGGAGGCAACAGAGAATGAGATGGTTGGATAGCATCACCAACTTCATGGACATGAGTTTGTGCAAACTCCAGGAGATAGTGAAGGACAGAGAAGCCTGGTGTGCTGCATGCAGTTCATGGGGTTGCAAAGAGGTGAACATTGCTTAGCAACTGAACAACAACAAATAAGCAGTCACTATCCATTCTGCCTTTTCCCCTGGTAACCACTAATTAATTTCCTGGCTTAATGTATTTGTTTATTCTGGTCATTTCAAAATGGACTGGAATCACGAAATGGCATCATACAACATGTGGTCTGTTGTGTTTGTCTCCTTTCACTTAGAATGACACCTTCATGGCTCATCCATATTGCAGCGTGAATCAACACCTCATTTTAATGGCAAAATGGTATTCTGTTATGTTGAATATACCACCTTTGTTTATCCAGTCATCTGTTGATGGCAACTTGGGTTGTTTTTACCTTTTGGCTATTGTGAATAATGTTGCTCGAAACATTAGTGTACAAGCATCTGTTAAAACTCCAATTCTCTTGGAGTTTTCAGTTAGGAGTAGAATTGCTGGGTCATACGGTAACTCTGTTTAAGTTCTTGAGGAACTACTAAACTGTTTTCCAAAGTGGCCAAACCATTTCACATTACCATCAGCAGTGTATGAGGGCCCCAATCCCTCTATATCTTCAGGTTATTATATCTTATTGATTATATACAGTCTAGATGGTATGAAGAGACTTTATGTTTGAACTGGATTGCCCTAATGACTAACGATGTGTTTATTGACCATTCGTACACCTTCTTTGGAGAAATGTCTTTTCAAATTCTTTGCCAGTTTTTTTAGTTGAGTAATTTTTCTCTTTATTTTTGAGTTGTATGAGTTTTTTATATATTCTAGACACGAATCCTTTATCAGATAGCCAACTGATTTTTACAAGGGTGCAAAAGCGTTTCTATGGCAGAAGGATGGCCTTTCAGCAGATAGTGTTGGAGCAACTGGACATCCAGAGGCACCAGAAGTATGATAGGATCCCAAAGCAACCAAAAAAAAATTGGTAAACTGGACTTCATCAAATTTAAAAACTTTTTTTCTATGAAAGATCCTGTTAGGATAAAAATACTGGGATAAAGTGTTTGCAAATCTTTTAAAATTTTAATTAATGAGTTAATGAATGGCTGTGCTGGGTTTTTGTTGCTGCACGTAGGCTTTTTCTAGGTATGGCAAGTGGGA